TACTAAGCATTTTATGCTAATTGTGTGCCTGCAATAATCCCATGAAGAGAATAATATTCTTATCCCAATTTTAAAAATGAGAAAACTGTGACACAGAGAGAAAAATCACTAGTGGCGTTGGCCTTTCACATGGGAGGGTCTCACACCCACAGATTCAACCAACCAGGGGTCAAAAATGTTCAGAAAAGAAAACATTCCAGAAAGTTCCAAAAAACAAAACTTGAATTTCCTGTATGCTAGCAACTTTTTACATAGCATTTACATTGTATTAGGTATTATAAGTAATCCAAAAATGACTTAAAGGATACGGATGGATGTGCAGTAGGTTATATGCAAACACTGCCATTTTACATGTGGGACTGGAGAATCCACCAACTTTGGTATCCATTGGAGGTGTCTGGGAAGCAATCCCTGCAGATACCGGAGGGCAACTGTACTCACAATTTTCAATCCTGGTGTCACATTTATAATTCTCTTTGACCAAAAGAGAGACACAGGACACAGATAATGGAAGTGGAACATAGCTTGGACATAATTCTGTCCATTATTTCTCCCATTGGGCTCTACATGATAAGATACAGGACAGGTACTTAATCAAATAAATTCAGAGATCACTGCATATTCCATTTATTATTATTTCTCTAGGTCAGTTATAACCTGTGAGTTGTCTGAATTATTTTACAAGTTCATATCACCTTTAAACTCAAAGTTATGTTAGTCATGAAAAAAATATGAAACAGCATGCTATAAGCATTTGAAGAAAATTATCTTCCACCTAAGTTACCAGTGCCCCTTCTGTAGTTTTATTATTATGTCATTAGCCAACTTTTTTTAGTTTACTAAAACTACCTTTAGCAAAATGATTTTTTTAAATTGAAGTATAGTTAATTTAAAAAGCTGTGTTAGTTTCAGGTGCACTGCAAAGTAATTAAACATATATACATTTTTTTGCAGATTATTTTCCGTTATAGGTTATTAAAGGACATTGAGTAGTTCCCTGTGTGATACAGTAGATCTTTGTTGTTTATCCACTTTATACATAGTGCTGTGTGTCTGTTAATCCCAAACTTCCAATTTATCCCTCCCTACCTCTTTCCCCTTTGATGACCCTAAGTTTGTTTTCTATATGTGTTGGTCTATTTCCATTTTGTATATAAATTCATTTGTATCATTGCTTTAGATTCCACATAGAAGTGATATCATATGATGTTTGTCTTTCTCTGAGTTACCTTACTTAGTATGATAATCTCTAAATTCATCCATATTTCTGGAATGGCATGGTTTCCTTCTTTTTGGGGGGCTGATTAATGTTCTATTGTATATAGGTACCACATCTCCTTTATTCACTCATCTGTCGACGGACAGCTACTTAGCTCCCATGTCCTGGCTATTGCACATAGTGCAAATGAACAGTGAGGTGCACATATCTTTTCAAATGAGACTTTTCACCAGAATATGCCTAACTGTGGGAGTGCTGGACCATACGATAACTGTATTTTTAGTTTTCTAAGTAACTTCCATACTGTTCTCCATAGTGGCTGCACCAGTTTACATTCCCATCAACAGTATGGTAGAGTTCCTTTTTCTTCACATCCTCTCTGGCATTTATTATTTCTATATTTTTTGATGATGGCCATTCTGACTAGGGTGAGGTGATACTTCATTGTAGTTTTGATGTGCATGTCTCTAGTAATAAGTGATATTGAGCAGCTTTTCACATGCCTGTTGGCCATCAATACGTTTTCTTTGGAGAAGTGTCTATTCAGAACTTCTGCCCATTTTGTAATTGGCTTGTTTGCTTTTTGATATTAAGTTATATGAGTTATTTTTATATTTTGAAAGGTAACCCCTCTGGGCAGCATCATTTGCACACATTCTCCCCTATTGTGTGGGTTCTCTTTCCATTTTGTTTATGGTCTCCTGTGCTGTGCAAAAAGCTTTTAGGTTTAGGTCCTATTCTTTATTTTTGCTTTTATTTTCATTACTCTAGAAGACAGATCAAAAAAATTGTTGTGATTTATGTCAAACAGTGTTCTGCAGTATTGTCGTACAAATGTAACATCTTTAATGCACATTGTGTTTATTTTTGTACAGTGTTAGAGAACACTGTAATTTCATGCTTTGACATGTAGCTGTCAGGTTTTCCCAGCATGACTTATTGAAGAGACAGTCTCTTCTCCAGTATATATTCTTGCCTCTTTGTCATAGATTAATTGACCATAAATGTGTTGGTTTGTTTCTGGGGTTCCTATCCTGTTCCATTATCTATGTGTCTGTTGGGTGCTAGTACCATACTGGATTTTGATGACTGCAGCATTATACTGTAGTTTGAAGTCAGCAAGCTTCATTTATCCAGCTCTGTTCTTTTTCAAGATTGTTTTGGTGACTTGGGTTCTTTTGCACTTCCATACAAATGATAAATTTTTTTGTTCTAGTTCTGTGAAAAATGCCATTGGTAATTTGATAGGGATTGCATTAAATATGTAGATTGCCTTAGGTATTGTAGTCATTTTAACAATATTGATTCTTGCAGTTCAAGAACACAGTTTATCATTCCATCTGCTTGAATCATCTTCAATTACTTTCATCAGCACCTTATAGTTTTCAGAAACAGGTCTTTTGCCTCATTAAGTAGGTTTATTCCTATTTATTTTTTTCTTTTTCATGCAATGGTAAATGGGATTTTTTCTTTATTTTCTCTGACATTTCATTGGCAGTTATACAGATGCCACAGATTTCTGTACATTAATTTTCTTTTTTTTTGTACATTAATTTTCTATCCAATATCTTTATCAGGTTCATTGATGTACTCTAGTATTTATCTGAGCTATTTAAAATCCTAAAAGATGATGCTATTAATGTGCTGCACTCAGTATATCAGCAAATTTGGAAAACTCAACAGGGGTCACAGGACTGGAAAAGGTCAGTTTTCATTCCAATCCCAAATAAGGGCAATGCCAGAAAATGTTCAAACCACCATAGGATTGTGCTCATTTTGCATGCTAGTAAGACTATGCTCAAAATCTGTCAAGCTAGGCTTCCACAGTATGTGAACAAAGAACTTTCAGATATACAAACTAGATTTAGAAAAGGTCAAATAATATTCATTGGATCATAGAGAAAGCAAAGGAATTCTAGGAATACATCTACTTCTGCTTCATTGACTACACTAAAGCCTTTGTGTGGATCACAACAAACTGGAAAATTCTTAAGGAGATGGAAATACCAGAATACTTTACCTGCTTCCTGAGAAATCTGTATGTTGCTAAGGAAGCATCAGTTAGAACCTTACATGGAAAACCTGTCTGGTTCAAAATTGGGAAAGGAGTAAGACAGGGCTGTATACTGTCACTCTGTTATTTAACTTATATGCAGAATGAGTGAAAGTCAAAGTGTTAGTTGCTCAATCATGTCCAACTCTTTGCAACCCCATGGACTATAGCCTGCTAGGTTCCTCTGTCCATGGGATTCTCCTGGTAAGAATACTACAGTGGATTGCCATTCCCTTCTCCAGGGGATCTTCCTGACCCAGGGATCGAACCCAGGTCTCCTGCATCATGTGAAATGCCAGGTTGGATGAATTGCAATCTGTACTCAAGATTCGCAGGAGAAATATCAACCACCTCAGATATGCAGATGATACCACTCTAATGGAAGAAAGTGAAGATGAACCAAAGAGCCGTTTGATAAGGGTGAAAGAAAAGAGTGAAAAAGCTGGCTTAAAACTCAACATTTAAAAAATGAAGATCATGGCATTCAGTCCCATCAATTCATGGCAAATAAAAGGGGAAAAAATGGAAAAAGTGTTAGTCGTTCTAACTCTTTTGCGACCCCATGACGGCAGCCTGTGAGGTTCCTCTGTCCATGGAATTCTCCGGGCAAGAATACTGAAGTGGGTAGCCATTCCCTGTTTCAAGTGATCTTTCCAACACAGGGATAAAATCCAGGTCTCCTGCACTGCAGGCAAATTCTTCACTGTCTGAGCCATGTGACAGATTTTATTTTCTTGGGCTTTGAAAATCATTGCTGACAGTGGCTGCAGCCATGAAATTAAGATACTTGCTCCTTGGAAGACAGGCTATGACAAATCAAGACAGTGTATTAAAAAGCAGAGACATCACTTTGCCGACAAAGGTGTGTCTAGTCAAAGCCAAGGTTTTTCCAGTAGTCATATACTAATGTGAGAGCTGGACCATAAAGAAGGCTGAGCGCCGAAGAATTGATGCCTTTAAACTGTGGTGTTGGAGACTCTTGAGAGTCCCTTGGACTGCAACGAGATGAAACTAGTTAATCCTAAAGGATATCAACCCTGAATATTCATTGGAAGGACTGATGCTGAACTGAAGCTGTAATACTTTGGCCATGTGATGTCAAGAGCCAACTCGTTGGAAAAGACCCTGATGCTGGGAAAGATCGAGGGGAGGAGGAGAAGGAGGTGACAGAGGATGAGATGTTTGGATGGCATCATCAACTCAATGGACATGAGTTTGAGCAAGCTCTGAGACAGTGAAGGACAGGGAAGCCCAGCGTGCTGCAGTCTATGGGGGTTGCAAAGAGTTGGACATGACTCAGTGACTGAATACCAACAGCATAGATTTTGTATGGTTTTGTTTTCACTGCCATTAGTTTTCAAAGTATTTTTAACTTTCCTGTTTGATTTCATCATTGACCGACTGTTTTTGTTTTTTTTTAAAGTAACACGTTGTTTGGTCCCCTTGTAATTGTTTTTTTCTTGTTTCTTTTTCTGTGTTCATTTCTAGTTTCATGCTGTTGTAATCAGAAAAAATGCTTGAAATAATTTCTATCCTCTTACATTTGCTGAGCAGCTGTATCCAGTCTGGCCCCTGTTGCCCAGAACATCCCCATCAGGGAAATGGAGGCTGGGCTCTGCTCTCTCCTTTCCACCTGAGAGACCAACAGTCTTGGGCAATTTGGTGTTGCCATGACAACCACACACTTTCTTCTTTCTACTTAGCAGACTTAGCATTGTGAGATGCCAATTAAGTCCTGGGGAGTTGTCTGTTAAGAAGGCATGTGGCTGCTTGGAGAGATCTATGCATCTTTTGATTCCTAAGTGCCTCCTGATGGCTGAGGCCAGCGATATGTCCTGCATCAGCCCCTGTGACCCGTGGCGGGGTCTGGCTGGCCTGGTTTCTATCTGATGACACTCTGGGGTGCAGCCTCAGGGGCAGGTAGATGGTGGTCACTGGAAGCCCCAGATCACACCCAGGCCCCTTCTGTGTGAGGCACAGGGTTTTCCAGCAAGTGCTCTGGACTCCGAAGGCTCTCTGCCCCCTCGGGATGTGTGCTGCCTTTAGGGACTTGGTGGTAGGTCTCAACAAATTTAAGACAATAGAAATTATTTCAAGCATCTTTTCTGATCACAGCATCACAAAACTAGAAATCAAGACAGAAAAAGAAACAAGAAGAAAACAATTACAAGGGGACTAAGCAACATTTTACTTTTAAAAAACCATTGGTCCATGATGAAATTGAAGAGGAAATTTAAAAATACTTTGAAACTAATGGCAGTGAAAACAAAACCATACAAAATCTATGTTGTTGTTCAGTCACTGAGCCATGTCCAACCTTTTGTGACCCATGGACTGCAGCACGCCAGGCTCCCCTGTCCTTCACTATCTCAAGAGGGAAGGATTTCAGATCTCTGCAAGGAGATCCAACCAACTGATTTGAAAGGATATCAGTCCTGAATATTCATTGGAAGGACTGATGCTGAAGCTGAAACTCCAATACTTTGGCCACCTGATGCAAAGAACTGACTCACTGGAAAAGACCCTGATGCTGGGAAAGATTGAAGGTGGGAGGAGGAGACAACAGAGTATGAGATGGTTGGATAGCATCACTGACTCGATGGACAAGAGTTTGAGCAAACTCCGGGAGTTGGTGGACAGGGGGGCCTGGCGTTCTGCAGTCCGTGGGGTTAAAAAAAGTTGGGCATGACTGAGCGACTGAACTGATGTGGTCAATGTTAGAGAATGTTCCATGTACATCTGAAAAGAATGTGTGTACTGTTTCTTGGGGATGTAATTAGCTGAAATTATCAATTAAGTTTAGCTTTTTATTAGATCATTTAGGATTTGTTTTTTTTTTTTTTTAGGATCTGTTTCTTAACTGATTTTCTGTATAGAAGAACTGTCTGTTGATATGAGTGGAATGTTAAAGTCTCCTATTATTACTGTATTCATGTCAGTTTCTCCCTGTGTGTCTCTTAGTATTTGATTTATGTAGTTGGGTCCTCCTGTATGGGTGCATATATATTAACAAGTGTAACATCCTCTTCTTCTATTGATCCTGTTAATCATCATATAGTATCCTTTTTAAATCTTTATGGCCTTTGTTTTTAAGTCTATTTTATCTGATATGAACATTGCAACCCTGCTTCCTTGTTATTTCCATTGGCATGAAATATCTTTTTCTGTTCTGATACTTTCCATCTATTTGGGTCCTTTGCCCTAAAGTAGGTCACGTGTAGGTAGCACATTGTAGGCTCTTAATTTTTTATCCAATCTGCCACTCTCTGACTTTCAATTGTAACATTCAGGCCATTGACATTAAGGTAATTATTGATACATAACTTTTTTTTTTTGCCATTTTAACATTGTTTTCCATTTGATTTGTATTTCTTCTTCTTGTTTTTTGTTGTTTCTATTGTGATTTGAGAATTCTTGTTTGTATTATTATTTTCTTTTTTATTTTTGTGAATCTATTGTTTGATTTTGATTTGTAGTTAGCCTGTTTTTCAAGTGTGTTAACCCCTTCCTATAGTTATATAGTTATGACTGTTAGTCATAGAGGCTCAAGCACATTCTTGAAAAAAAAAAATTAACATTTTCTTACTCTCCTCACCAACATATTTTGATTTAAATGTCCTCTTTTACATCTTTGTGTTTATCCTTTTGCTGTTTATTGTGGTTATCATCACTTTCACAAAAAATACTTTAAAAAAAAAATCTGTTTACTGGCTTAAGTGATTAACTTTCCAATTGTGATTTTCTCTTTCCTATAGATTCTTCTTTTTTATTTAGAGAAGACCTTTCAAAAAATTTTTAGGGTTGGTTTAGTATTGCTATATTCTCTTAGTTTTTGCTTGTCTGAGAAATTCTTTGTCTCTTCTATTCTAAATGACAATCTTGCTGGGTAGGGTATCCTAGGTTGCATATTTTTCCCTTTAAGGTCTCTGAATATATCATGCCACTCTTTTGGCCTGCAAAATTTCTGTAATCAGCTCACAGCTTTATGGGGGTTCCTTTGTAATTAACTTTTTGCTTTTCTTTTGCTGCCCTTTTAGAATCCTCAAACTTTCATTATTTTGACTGTCTAGTGTTTGGAGTCATCTTGTTTGGGACCCTTTGTGTGTCTTGTACTTGGATGTTTCTTTCTTTAGGTCTGCAAAAGTTTCAGCCATAATTTCTTCAAATGCACTTTCAAACTCTTTTCTCTTTCTTTTTCTAGATTACTATTATGAGTATATGGTTCACTTTATATTATCAGATAACTCTCCTATATTGCTTTCATTTTTTTTTTATTTGTCTTTCTGCTGTTCTAATTGAGTGATTTCCATTATTCTATATTCCAGATCACTTATTTGTTCTTCTGCATTATTCAATCTACTTCTAAGGGCTTCTCTGTTAGCTCAGCTGGTAGAGAATCTGCCTGCAATGCAGGAGACCCTGGCTCAATTCCTGGGTCAGGAAGATCCCCTGGAGAAGGGGAAGGGTACCCACTCCAGTATTCTGGCCTGGTGAATTCCATGAACTGTGCAGTCCATGGGGTTGCAAAAAGTTGGACACTGAGCGACTTTCGCTTTCATTCACTGTCTTTTGCTCAGCTTTTGTCTCAGCAAATGAGTTTATAATTTTTCTCAGCTCCTCCTTACAGTTTCTGGTTCCTGTTTACAGTAATCAGCATCTTTTTTTAAAGCTTTTTATTTTGTATTGGGGTATAGCTGACTAATAATGTTGTAATAATTTCAGGTGAACAGTGAAGGGAGTCAGCCATACATGTATCGCTTCTACCTCAAGCTCCCCTCCCATCCAGGCTGGAATATAACACTGCAATTCTATTGATAACCTTTCTTCCTCTCCTCCCTTCCCCTGAAGTTCAGCATGTCCTGAATGGCTTGATGCCCAGCTGCTCAGACAGTCTCTGCTTCCTCCCCCCCTCCCTCCTTCGCTTTTCTTTTCTGGCTTGTATGATCTTAGTTCCTTGATTTGAACCTGGGCTCTCAGCACTGAAAGTGCATGGAGTCCTAACCACTGAACCACCAGGGAATTCTCTCAGTAAACTTTAATTCCTCTGCTGTTTTCATTATCTCCTTTTAAAATTTTCATTATCTCCTTTTAGAACAGACTGAGGAAGTCTGTGTCTTTGTTCTTTCAGGGGAATTCTCTTGATCTTTTCATTGGGAGGGGTTCCTCAGCTTCTTCATTTCACTTATATTTCTCTGACTCTATGAGTTTAGAGGCGTCCCTAGTGGCTCAGACAGTAAAGCGTCAGCCCACAATGCCGGAGACTTGGGTTCGATTCCTGGTCAGGAAGATCCCCTGGAGAAGGCAATGGCAGCCCACTCCAGTACTCTTGCCTGGAAAATCCCATGGACGGAGGAGCCTGCTAGGCTACGGTCCATGGGGTCACAAAGAGTTGGACACGACTGAGCAACTTCACTCATGAGTTGAGAAGGTGGTCTTGAAGGGCTGATTTACGTGGGTGCATCCCTGTGGAGACTGCACGGTTTCAGTATTTGGGGTTTGAGGGCTGTCTGTGTGTGGATGCCCGCCATGTCTTTCCTCGGCATGCAGGCCGCTACCCCCTTGACCAAGGGTATGCCTAGCGTGGCGGCGGTGAGCCCGCACTAGACCGCGAGCAGCAGGGCTGCCCCCGTGCTCTGCGGCTGTCAGCGCCCTGTCGTGAGCGGTGTCTGCTCTCCAGTCGTTGCAGTAGAATACCTCAGACCACTTCTGAGCTGTGGGGTAAATAAGTGGGTTCGGGGCTCTCTCACTGAGACAGGAGCCCCTGAGTATTCCTTCACTGGAATGTCCACTGGGGAGCGTGCTCTGTGGTAGCACCTGAAACCCGTTTTGCAGGCTCACAAAGGACTCTGTCTTGGGCACTGCCATCAGCCCTGCTTCAATCGTGGGAATGCCGGCAGTCATCTGTGTCCCTCAGGTGCTTTGTTCACAAGGCCACCAGCGCAGAACCGGTGAAGGCAGGTGCCAGGGCCGCAGCAGTCATATAGGGAACCAGGAGGCAGACTAGACCCCAGCCTGCTATACGTGGATCCACCAAGGGAACCAGGAGGCAGACTAGACCCCAGCCTGCTTTCAGGAGCACGTGCCTGAGCTTCTAGGGCCAGACCTGTCCCAGCTGCGGGGGCACCTGCAGTCCACTTGGATGTCCTGTAGGTGCTGAGTTTACAAAACTGGTGACGGATTGCCCAGCTGTGTGTGTGGGGGGGAGCTCAGATTCACCCCTTACTTTCTAAGCCACACGACCCCTGGGGGTCAGCTTTGATTTCAGTTCCACCTTGGCCTGTGGGCAACCTGCTGGTGCTCACGCACTAGCAGAGCTTGCAGAGGCGGCATTAGGTCAGATGGGGATGCGTGGAGAAACAGGCTGCTACGGAGGCCCCGCCGCCCCTTCCCTCCTGTGTGCAGACAGTGGGGATTCAGGGGCAGGGTCACAACCGCTGTGAGTCCACAGAGAGAGGCTGCCGCTGGCCCCACCCCTCCTGCTGTGCTCCACTTCACATCTGTGCTCACTTCTACTGCAGACCTGGGCTTCCTCCGCGTACACCCCTGGTTGCAGCCACAGCACACTCCATCCCCTTCAAGCTGTCTCTGTGCGGCCAACAGCAGCCCTCTCCCGGTCTGTCCCCTGAAATCTTAATTTCAGCACCCAGCTCCTCTACCCCTCCAATGCAACAGCGGCTGTAGATGGAAGCCAAGGGTATACGAGACCGTCCAGAAAGAAAGTGTGAAACAAGGACAGAGGGGAATAGAATCTTGGTGAAGCACTTTAAGGGTCACCAAAGGAAGGGAGTGAAGGTCTATCCAGAAAGACAAAGCATCAGAGCAAGGTGGCACAAAAATTAAGGCAGAGAAGAACTGAGTAGGAGATGGTGGCTAATTCCTACGTCTTTTTCAGAGACTCAATGGTACTTTATTTCAAGAATCATACTATGTGCTTTTTATGAGTTCTGATTTGCCTATGTCAGTAAACTAGTAAACCAGAATATAACTCGTGATGAATTCTCACTATCCAGATGTGTTCAAAATGCCCTATCAACACTATACAGCTTTCCCTATATCTTTTGCAAATTCTAAATCTTTAGAATGAAAAACTATCTTTAATGCCAAAATATGATGTCATATGTTTTAAACTGATCAGTTCACTCATTTTTTCTGGACTACTTATTCTTGACAATACTCCCATTTATGCTGGAATACAAATTTTGAGATTAGTTATTTAAAACAATGCATGTGCCTTAAATATTGAGAGATGACAATATATCTAATGGATTACTATATGAACAATATATCTGAGACACCAAGTAGCCTGAAATTTGCTCGTGAAAGCTATTTCAATGGCACTAGTAATTTAAACTAGAAACTAGAAAACAAGCTGCATAAAGGAGTAATATTTAGTTATCAGCTATACTGTGAATATTATTTTTTGACAATCAGATACAGACACTTGAAAATTCCACAGTGCTCTAGAGACCAAAAGGCACAGGCACAAGTGATTTATTATGTTTTTAAAAAGTGTTGAAGGGAATATTAATTCTGGAGGGTTTTTTTAATCAACTCAACACTATTATACACTAGATGAAAAAAAATCTCCACGAACATTCCCTCACAAAGCTGGTGGTTTTATATTTACATAGTTATTATTATAGCAATTTTAAATGTTAATCTATGATACAATAATGTTACTTCAGAAAACATAAAAAATATAGTTTTTAATAGCCATGCTCCCATTTTTGATGAAAGCTAGTCAGTTCATCCTAATGTTAGTCTGACACTTTGAAACGCACATGAGACGCAGCCTGCTGTGAGCGCTGCAGGACAGAGGCCCTCACGCGGAGTAGACAGAGGGCTCGTCGTCACTGAGGTCCGAGTCGTCCTCATCCACCCCTTCAATGACCGACTTCTTGCCTTTGCAGCAGGACACGATGAACCCGACGACGAACACCTGCAGGGGTAAACAGGCGGCGTGCTGTTTCTCAAACTTGAAATCTCCCAGGAAGTACTGACTTTAAAACCCAAACCCAGCCACAAATGGGCCAGTGGTGGTCATGGCATCCCTGGGACGCCCGCACTTACCCCAAGAAAGGCCCAGTTCCCAAAGTAGTAGGCGGCACTGAAGAACCAGAACTTGTGAAGGAAGAGGTAGGTCCGCGTGACAGTACACTGATCTAGGAAAGCAAATCGGGGACCCAGGTGAAGCGGTTTCTCTCTTCAAACAGACTATGAACACTTTACCTAAAAGGTTGTTAACCAAAACTAAACCAGCGTTAGAGACAGGATGGAAATCTAGGTCTATCTCCAAAGCCCACTCTTTCAATCACTTTACTATAATGACATTTTTAAAAGTGAGCACCACCAATGTAATTCCTGCTGTTAGGTATAAAAAAATTGTATTGGCTAGTGCAATGTAGCTAAACTAGAAAAAGCATTTTAACCTGGAATGCCAGACATGTCCTAAAACAAAACAGTTTTCCTGATGAAGAATGAAAAAAAGAAATGAAGAAAGTAAGCAGATATGGTTTGTATTAGTTTGCACTTTTCTAAGAATCCAATTAAGAGATTTTGGGGGGAACGTCCCTGGCGGTCCAGTGGTTAAAAATCTGCCTGCCAATGCAGGAGACCCAGGTTTGATCTCTGGTTGGGGAATTAAGATCCCACACGCCGCAGGGCAACTAAACCCGCAAGCCACACTACTGAGGCCCGTGGGCTTCAGAGCCCAGGCTCCACCAAAGCCCATGTGCTGTAAGGAAGGTCCAGCACAGCCACGATACACAGATAAACGTTAACTGAATAATTAAAACAGTAAAGTGATGATACCTTTAAAAGGAGATCTTTTTGAGCTTAAGAACACTATTGAAAAGATGGCTGACTTGCTTACTCCCTGAACTTTAGACGGTATTATAACTTGAATCTAAAAACAATCATTTATTTTTTTCCTTCCAGACACACACACACACACACACACACACACACACACACACACACACACACGCAATGTATCTCTTAAGGAGAAAGCAGCAGACTGGTTATTTGATATCTGTGTGAGACTCCATATTATTTTATCTAAATTCACTGTTTCCATCAGCTTACAAAGTCCTTTAGGTATCTAATATATGACATCTAAGGAAATACTTGTTTATTAAAACTGTGGCATGGATTTCTGAAAGGCAGCATTTGGTCCTACTTTATTCCAGTCTCCTCCCCTCCCATGAAGCTCAGCATGTCCTTCTGAATGGCTCAGGGCCCAGCTGGACAGGCAGCCTCTGCTTCCTGCAGGAAGACACGCAGCATAGCAGGGACGCACCTTCTTTTCACGGGCCAGGCAGCCAAACTAATGCCAACCCACTGAGCCCCGAGGGCCCCCCTGCACATTCCTCATTCTCTTTTTCAACAGAAAAGTCTAGAAGGAATAGTTGAAGCTTCCTAAGGAAAACCAAGAAGGACTCAAGCAGCAGTGTGGAACCGTTTCCCTCCCCTCAGCTCCGCAGTTCCTGGCCCCCACGGTGACGCCCTCACCCCAGGCCAGGCAGCTCAGGCGGCAGCACAGCCTCCTGGGCGGGAACGCCGCCGGGCACTCACTCTGCCCCCCGGTGATGACAGAACGTGCTTCACAGGAAGGTAACTTAGGAAATTTGTCACTTTTCCCACTAGGTTGGCCCGCGTATTCCAGAGTATGCCACAGAGTACCTGGCACTCATATTTAAGATGACTGATGAAGTAAACTAAATTGTTCAAAAGGGAGGTATTTGACTTAAAAATCATACTGATAAATAATGCATTTTCTAATTTCTTTCGACTAAAATCTGAGAAGACTCCAAGGATGTCAAAACAAGATGCTTGAATCCATGTTGAAAATGAAAGCATAACTTAAATGTCCAGCACAGGAAAGGAGGTGCAGACCCTGGTCTCACAGATCCGGGGTCAGCGCTCACTCGGCCACTTCTCTGCCATGTGAACGGGCACGTCCGACCACTGACACTCTGTGCATCACCACCTTTCCTCACGGGCTCATCCGAAAGGCCAGATGAGTCTGCAGGCTGGCAGTTCATACTGATTTTCTTCTTTAAGATATAACCAAGCCCACGATAAAGAATACAGTTTTCAAGAGCAGTTCAAATGGTGCCAATAAAAACTCATCTTAAAATTTTAGAAGGTGACTAGTACTCCTTAGTACTAAGGAAAATACTTGCTTAGCTATTACTACTCTGCACGTGTTCATTATTTTTCTGTCTCTACAGTCAAAACAGATACAAATGGATTTGGTGTAATTTAAATGTGTATAATTCAGTAAAAGGATACTTGCTAAACAGTAACATACCTTTAAAGAAAAATAACCAACTTTTAATGAAGAGAGGAACAGGCTGTTTAAAAAAAAAAAAAAAGCCTGTTCACAATTAATTTAAAAACATCAACGGTATCTTTCATGGGTTAAGTATTACATAAACTCTGCTGTTCAAGCACAAACCCGTTTTTAAAAAAGTTACTCAACCCTCTCAACACTTCTGATGCTCTAAACTTAGAAAATAAAAGTTGTGTTACTCATTTCCACACCTAAAGGTATCTGGGGGGTGTTCAGAACTAGAGTGAACTGGAAGCTTCAGGGCCAGAACAGGAACAAGACGGTGGCTGAGCTGGCAGAAGCAGGTGAGATCAAATGGCTTTCCCCAAGGCTCTAATAACCCACTCAGTGACACTTTAAGTTGGCTACACCCGCTGTTACTTTCTCCTCCACAAAGAGTGTATCTTATTTTTCCTATCACATTATTTCACATGTTTATCCCTTCCATTGTTTAAAGATTTGACACAAGTATTCTAAAATAAGAGGGGAAAAAAAAAGTATGATCATTGTATTCTGCTTTGTGTTGAAAAGTATGTAACAGCTTTTATACTTATCTTTACATGTATTTATCAGTATATTTATATGCACATAAAGGGGCAGATGTCCACAGAGGAATTCTGGTTAATAATTCTCATGCAAATATTTTACGTTCAAGCTACGACTCCACACTGAGCAATACATGGAGGGGCTTCTCTCCTCTTCCCTATCTGCCCTCTCCGAGCTGATAGTCTGCATCACAGGTATCTAGGAGATCTAGAGAGGTCTTTCTACTGTTATCTCAAACACTAGAATAAGTATTTTGAACTTGGTTTAACCTTCAAAGTAAATGTGAATTGCTCAATTTAGGAACTGCAATCTAAAATCACAGGTGTTCAAGAGATTCTGGCTGTTATTCCTCAAAGGGACACACAAACTTCCAGTTAAACCAGAGAGGGCATGTTAACAATTAACAACTAAAAACAGGGGTTCAGACAAAAGCTTTTTTTTCAGACAAGGTGGCCATATGAAAAAGACCAAAATTAAAAGCGCCAAGAAAGGGCACGGAAGCTATCTGAAAAAACAAATCAAGACTTGACTCCTGCTTCTCCACCTTCCCTCACCTATTCTCACTCATCAAATGAGATGAACAACCAACAGGAAGCACAATTCAGCCTCTGTCTGTCACACAACAGCCTTTACAAATGTGCCTAGTAAGTTTATACACTTATTTCCTTTCAGACTGCCGGTTATGTCACTGAGAGTGTGTGCTGACTGCCACTAAGATAACTTTGGTTACTAACTATGATAAACAGCACCTTCTACTTTAAATATATTTTGAAAAACAACATTTAGTGCTGATTTAAGCCAATATTAAGTCACCATCATGTTACACCTTCACTTGAAATCAGCTTAGAATTAAGTCTGTATTTGTGCTTTATTTATAAAATGAATCCTTATGATACGTACGTAATAGAGGGAAGGTATTTGGGGAAATTTATGTGCCACAGAGAATTTTAAAGCAATTTCTTTGACTAGTGAAAAAAGAACTGGGAGAAGACTGGATTCCTTAGAACAACGCTTCCTTTCTCATGGCTGCGTGTGATTATGCTAACTTTAGGTCTTGCTACTATTGGATATTTATAACACACATACAAATCTTAAATGTAAACAGGCTAAGCACCTCGGGCTTTACTGTGACATGATTAGGAATAATTTATCAAATGGCTCTGAGAAGGGGGAAAACATGCTATTGGGATAGAAGGAAGGCTAGCCCTGGGAATCTGAGCTTTAAGCCCCAGTTAATCATCACTGTCAAATGGATTTATAGCATATGAAAGAGAAAGAGCATATACAAGTATATATAAGAGCAGAGAAAGATTTGAGAAACCAGCAACATATATCCAGTAAGAAAAGGGAGGGCAGAAGAAAATTTTTAATTTAAATATTTGCATAAAAACCAAAATTGTAGGTTTATCTTGAAATTCAACAAATGGCATATAGTTAAATCATGTTTTGTTAAATCTCACTGCAGGCACTGAGTAAAAGGGAAAGAGCAAGCTGGTGAGCATCAAAAGTCACAGAAATTCTAAAGGGAACAGGTTTTATTCTATGAATATATAAACTGTACCAGGCTAACAAACCTAGCACTTGGCCACACGCTTTGCACTGAAAAATAAAGTCTCACAGTGACTGTGTTAAGAACCAGTATAATCAAAGCTCAACACAAATTAAGTAAGTCTAATGTATTTCAAAAGTGCTAAAATATGTATTGCTCCTTTAAGAAGGAATGTACCTAATTTCATTTGTCCTGACCATATAAAATATAATTGGCCATACACAGGTTATAAAAGATAGTTTCAAAGGTAAGCATTAGCATATAAATGTAGGAACAATCTCAAACTGTATTAGTGAACTCTAAATTAATGAGATTTTCTGTTACTCTTAATTGTCCAAGATGGTAAAATATGAAGCAACTGCTTTCTATTACCTTAACTTTTTCATAAAATGACAGCAATTTAAGAGGTACAGTAGAAAATATTAGAGACAGAAAATGGAGATTTGGTTCTTGAGTCCGCTGTTTATATTTACTGTGAGAGTCTGGACTGAGTCATTTAACGTCTAAGTCAGTTTCTTTCTAAGTGTCATTGATATAAAATCTGCTTGTGAAGGATTGTGATAAGATAAACTGACCTTCTGAGAATTAAATTTAGAGAGAATTCTAAATGTGATTTTAAAAAAAGGTTGATGCTTTATGAGCTAGTTCCTTAAGCAAGGATCTGTAGAAAGTAGCTGAGAAGTCTCACAAAATCACCTGGGCTGCTTTAGCGTGGGCTCCAGAAAACTGAGCAA